GGGGACCAACAAACACACCCAGCACCCACACCAGTGCCACCGTATCTAACAGTCCCCTGTCCCAGGAGGCACCAAGTGGGAAGAACCAACTTTGCCAGGGTCACAGTGGGAATTAGTGACAAGGCAGAGCCCATCACATCCAACTGCCCCGCTCCTCCATGGCTCCAGGCCAGCAGAACCAGCAGCTCTGGATGGGGAGCATAGCTAGGAAAGGAGAAGGTACTGCCAGGGCTCTTGCTCTGGCACTAGATGCTGCTACAGAGCAGCATCATTCTAATTATAGTAACAGTGTCAGTGCTGAACAGTGGGAAAAATACATACTTCAAAAGGTCTATAACTATGTAATTTGCTGCTGGGAAAACTCGCTACAAAAAACCTCAGAACGAAGCACTTCTAAAAAGTAATTTGTACTCATCTGACTTGCTTTAAATTAGATAAAGGTTTGGGGGGGATATGGGGTATGAGGTAGGCATACAAGCAACAGAGATTTCTGTTTAAAACTGTCTTTCTATTCATATGGCTTCACACTAGTTATACATGAAACAGCGACATTTGGTGGATCTATGTTTAATCTAAATATAGCCCAAGAAAAGTCAAGTCAGTACAGCATTACTCTTACACTTAGAGAAAGGAGGGCGTTTGGTGGGTAGGCAGACATTTAAAAGTCACTTCTTCGATGCGTTTTGCTAGCAATGCTTCCCTAAATTATTCGATTGTGTGGACCCACGTGCAGAGCAGAACTGCAGGATCGGGGATTTAGCGTGAGTAAAGTGCAACCCACTCCTGTAAATTCCTTCTCCAGTTCCTGCTGTCCCTGAAAGCACCCATCGCTGTCATTGTCATGCCACCTGGAGAGCGGCTGTTGCTCTCTGCATGTTTCACCCCGGGGATCCCACAGGGTCTTGCTGGGACAGGGAGGTGAAGCAGAGCAGGGGGGAGAAAATTGTAACCCTGGTGCTTAGACCTGCCCTTTGAGTTTAGCGCAAATCCCTACTGAGAAAGAAACTAATTCTGTGTATCTCACATTCACTAGTGAGCGACCAAGACTAGACCCTGTGTGGACACAGAAAAAGAGAGAGTCTCTTCCTTGAAAAGCCACAGGCAAACAGGTAAGACACAGGTAGGAAGATTAAAACTAGCCATTCTGGCAGGGAGCTCACAGCCTTCCAGCTCCTTTCCACCACCGTGCTGCTTTTGCTGCGTTAAGCCAGCCAGATGCACATGGCTATTCCCCAAGCTGGTTTTGTGCAGGGAACATGTAACTGCTGTTCTTATCCCTCCTCATGCGTATCTGCTTAAAGACCATGTCATTTCCATGCCCCCCAGCCACAGACCTCACACAGAGAAGGTTTCACCAGGCTAGTCCTTTCATAACTATCGCTACGTATCAAAGTGGTTGAGAATGACATTTCTGGTCAATAATGTCAGCCAACACCACCTGTGGGAAGGTTAAGGGACATCCAAATAGAAGTGAAAAAGGGTACTAGTCTGTCTTAGTGAAAATGATTCTTGTCCTACCAGTGGGGAGAAAGAGAGGATGACACTCTGGCCCCGCCTGGGATCATATTTGGTGCTGGAATTGTCTGTTTCTTGCCCTCTAGAGTGGGGATGAATGCACCATGCAAGTCACCAGCCGGGACAAGGAAAGAAAAAGCCTGTCAGATGGGTTCTTAAATTAGATGGACAATGAATGATGAGTCTGTTCCAGCCGAGCAGAAAGGGATGGATGGAACAAGGGGCCCTGGGGAAGGCAACAAGCTACTGATCTGAGTCTTAGTTAAGGACAAACAGGGCTTGAGTCAGAAATACCTTGAAAGCACGATCAGATCCTCATGCAGCGTAAATCAGCTGATGATTTATTTACATGTGGTGATTCACTTTTCATGCAGTACTGCGTACATGTTTCCAAGTCCAGATTCCCCTGGCACAAGGACATATGAGACAGCATTGTCCCCTGTGGTGACTGGAGGAAAACCTCACACGCAAGAGTGCCTTGCTACCATGTGCCTCAGCTTCCGCACTGAGCAATGGGTGTTGGTGGGGAATTCAGATCAGAAAGCAGGTCCTCATGGAGCTCCCACACTGCCCACAAGTGCCCTGAGGGCTGCACAATCCAACTGAGAGAAGGCAAGCTTGCTGCTGGTGTTGGAGGAAGGGGATTAATGAGCAGGAGATGACAACAGAAGTCCAGGCTTTCATTAATTAGAGGAGGGCATGAGCATCTCCCACACTGCATCGAGGAGTGTGTTTCTGCAGTCACATTCTTCTGCTCACTGAAGAACACAGGGAGTTTCTAGGTACTGCTTCAAATCACAGCCCTGTCAAGCAGAACTGTGTCACATAACATGTGACACAAGTCCTTCCCCTGGGGAAAAGTTGCAGGCCTGCCAGGAAGATAAACATGTTTGGCACTGCACAAATCAGGCTATTACCATGTCGATCACAAGGTCTTGCATTCGGCCAAAAGGTGCCTAGGAAGCAGAGCCAGAAACTAAGCCTTTCACAAAAGTTTTTCAGAACAGGAACCCCAGAAACAGAGACCACCCTCTATCACACATCATTTGTGCTGGAGAACTTCCTCTCATGGTGGATTTAGTATAGGCTATGAATACCTGCACAGGAATTCAAGTACTAAATTAGTATGGCAGAATGAAGCCCAACGGCTGCGAATACAGGATGCAAACACAGATGAATTTAGAGCAGAATTAAGGCGTAAGGGGAATTAGCCATTGGCACAGCTGACCTATGGATTTGTGGCTGCTATATTTGTTTTTATTGGATCTAAATGCTTTTCTAAGAGATCTAGCACAGCACAGTGTGTATGTATTGTGAGCTTGATACTGACATCAGGAGATAAAATTATCTGGCTTGTCCTGTGCTGATCAGACTAGATAGCTCCTTCTGGCTTATAAAAGAATCCATATGCATATATATAGCAAATGGCATAATGAGACCCTAGTTTCAGTCATGGTCTTTGGACACAACTGTTTTACAAATAAGACATATACAGTATTAATCTTTGGTTTGGTGGGAATATATCTTTTTGGAAATATTTGGATAAGGATCTTTCTTCACCTTTTTGGCTTAGATGATGTGCCTGGTTAACAAATAAAAAGACATTTTCACAGGAGATTCAGTTCCAGTTTAGTTATGTAGAGGGGTGTCTTCCTCCAGCACCACAGCACTAGGAACAGTCTGGACAAAATATAGTAAGGTAGACCCTTTTCTGGATAAAGCATGAATCAGCAGACCCAGCTACCACTAGGTATTTGGGGCTGGAGGTATTTTGTGTACCTTATCTATATTATGGGTACTGTGAAAGCTTTTCTAATTCGTCTTCTGGAAGATGAAATGCCTACAATGACACTGGCAAGTGCCATTTTCAGCCTGCTCACACAGAACTGAAATGGCTCGTTAAGTCATCTGCAGTCAGTGGTGGGGCCCTAAAGCTTTGAATACTTGACACACCGCCATACTCCATACACCAATTTTCTCATGTGAAGAGAAGCAAGAACAGTCAGACATCTCTTCCCCATTTTCTCCCTCCCAAATGAGCCTTTTTTCTTCCTTTTTTTTTTTTTTTTAAACTGTTCCCTCAAAAACAGTCACCTTAGCCCTTTCACCCCTGCTTCTCTCCGTACCGAACAGCATGGCAGCAGTACTCGCCACTGCCATTCTCTGCTGCTCCCTGTGGTCTCCCTCCCTGCTCACGTTAAATAAGCATGACACAAACTTGCACAGCCCTTCGGTAGAATGCCTCAGGAGGTACCGCAGGAGATGTTTATGGCAGATGTGCTGTGGCAAGGTAGGTGGCACATGAACCTCCATGCTGTGACCTCAGTTGACAATTATGCAGTTGTCATTTGCAAGCCGTGGCTGTTCCCCATGTTTGGACCACCCCCGCCTGTTCACCCAAGTGAGCTGTCAGGATTTAAAGGCTGCAAAATGCCTGGTTCAGCTTCTCATCACATTCACGCAAAGAAAATGTTAACCCCAGCCTACTTCCAGCTCTAGTCAGAACTCAGTTTCACTAGAGCATTTCATTATAAAATGAAATCACCCTGTTTGCTAGAAATGCCTTAGCTCTTACTGTCAGTTCCAGCAGCTTCTAGCCAGTTTGTTTTCACAGAGCTTAGAAAAGTTGGAAAGGACTGAAGTAATGGATAGGAACATGAGCCTCTCAATACCAGATTTTCTGTGCTGGAAAAGATTACATGATCTACAGAGACAGGTGAACCAGGGAAAAGGTTCAGAGCACATCTGTGATTGAAATAAACCCAAGGAAGTTCAGTCTGGGTCTGAGCTGAGCCAGTTCCATCTAAACTCGGGTCTCCAAAACACAGATTGGAATTTGGAAGATAACTGCTATGTGAATTCAGACTATTTGTCCTGACAGACCAGGCTTCTTACTGGCAATGGCTGGCACCAGCTCTCTGCTGAGAAAGTCCACGAAATCCTGCTGTACACTCATGTTGTTCCGAGCGCAAGATTCCTCCTGATCCTGACAAAGGTTGTGAGTTTAAATCACAATGCATGAAAATTTATCACCCTGCAGAATTCTTTTTTTTTTTTTTAAAGTGAAAACATCTTTACTAAAACTCGAGGTCTTCTCCACAGGAATGTCAAATACCATTTTGATCTTGCTAAGTTTCTGCTAGGCTTCAGGAAAACACTCAGGCAAAGGCACCTGCAGCCTTGCTATAAGGGCAGCCTTGCATTTTATAACTGGCCTTTTGGATGCCTTTTTGTGTGCTGCAGACTCAAGCAGGATGCTTGTATTTACAAAGATCAGGAACCTAGAAACCTTTTCATTCTCACCTCCGCTTTGGCTGCTGCTTCTGAAATGCATTAAGACTCCTGTTCTCCAGAGAAGCTATCCACATGTTCCTTTCTCAGTTTGTTCACACTGGGAACAAAAATTCATGATGGAGCATATTCTGTGGGAGCTAATATTCAGTGGGTTTGATTGTGTAGAGGACATCTTTGCAAGGATCAGATGGTCAATCTCCCATCTCTTTGTAGTTTTTACTACTATCTTACATTGTGGAAAAACGTATGAGGTGAATTTCAGGGGGCTTTGGCTTCCTGTCATCCCATAAATACTCTGGAGAAAGCACCTTGGAGGGTTTGTGGGAGAGGAAGTGCCTGTTGAGATGGCTTTCTTCCTGCCAGGCTGCCATGATCCCATTGGCTTTGTCTGTCAGGATAGTCATGTGGCAAGCCTTGGTGAACTCATAGACTTTCTTCACCAGCCCTCCAAACACAGCTCCACCGTAGTAAAAGTCCTCTTCTCCATCAGGGATGTAGGCTGCTGGATGTAGGCTCCTCCTCTCATAAGGGAACTGGTTTCAAGGGACATTGAAATAGCCAGGGTGTGTGGCTGCTACTATATCACCCAGGGTCTCAGGCCCCCAGGCATTGTAGAACACCATGTCAATGTCCAGGCAGAAGGGGTAGTCCACCTCTTGATGGCTCGTCTCTGCTATGTGCTTGTTTATGGCCTCCATTCTGCGCATGGAGATCTTTTGCCAGCTGGGGTATTTCTTGATGGGGACAATGACAAACCTTCATCCAGGCTGCAGGTGGACATTGGGAATTGTCTCAGGGCTGTCAGTGAAGATATAATAGTTTACCTGATAGCCTTTCATGAAATGTTTCTCTGCTGACTCCAAGAAGCGGCCCACAAACCTTGTGTATCTGTGCAGACACAAGACGTGAATAGCACAGCAGAGACAAGGTGATGCATGGTGGATTATGAAGGGTATTATAATGAACAGAAGACGACAAGGGATGAAGAGTGCTTACTAGCTATTGATGCAAGGACCCATACGCTTATACATGCGATAGGTAAAGTACAGTGGAGGACAAGGAACAAGGTGGATTTTCCCTGCTTTGACCAACCAAACACCTATCTACAGCTCTAATTCCCCAGACACATGCTAGTTCTTCAAAAATACTGACCATGCTTTAGGTACCTTGGGTGCTGAGTCCGTCGGCTTCTATGACTATGGACACAACACATGGGCATAAAAGTTTACTACAAATTGGGACAGATTTCAGCTCTGCTGAGGACAAGAAAAGCCAAAATGATCTTTCCACAGAGGAAGTACATCAACTCATGAACTGTGCTCACTGAGTGGTTCACTTACTTTCCAGTGGCAAAGGCTGTCACCCCTATGGTGAGATTCAGTGGCCTGTAGGCACTGTCTAGGATCTCAGAATTGAAGGTTCCTTCCCAGATGATGGGGGCCAGCCAAGGTGTGACTATCAGCACATCCTGATGCCTGAAGGAAAAAAAAAGGGAATGTTAATGAAACGTAACTGTTCCTTTTGGTTTCAAGGCCAGTAAATGGGAAAGAAACACTAAAAAGGCAGCTAGAAGAAGAGTGTATCAGCATTAATTCATTATGGATGGTGTTATCTTCAGATCTTTTTCCCTGCCCTCTTATTTAAGGCTACCAAGCACGGACATTTCAGTTCCTGGGGTGAAATTAAGCACTGTTTAATGAATTGGCAAAAACCCAAGGATCTAGTAAAATCTCATTTAAGCTCATAGGACATTTCTGCTGAGGAGAGTTTAATGACCACTGAACTCACAGAATGAGAAATTATGCACATTTGCTATCAGTCTGATGCAGATTGCTACATACAGATTACAACACAAGTAATAATATGAAAATGACTATAAAATTATACCCCATTGCTGTGTTATTAAAACACAGCTTGCAGCATGACAGTTTATTTTTCCAGTATTTATATATAGCTTTAAAACATTCAGATATAATTTAGAATTCTGTATGTGAGCCAGCATTCAAATGTGTAACAAAGTTATAGAAAATCCTTAATCTCCTGCGTGGATAGTGGAAATATTGACTATACATGCAGCAGAGTCTGATTATGCCCTATTACAGCTATGCAATGCTGTTTCAACATTATTCTTTGTTTTCAGGGTTTCTTTCTTACATTTTTGATGTTAAAACAAGATGTCATTTATGATGTGTAATTTACCCTAGCCTGCTCACATTTGCCCCAGACCATGATGATTAGCACTCCACTAATGAAATTTGCCATACACAGTGCTGCACTTGGAGGCTGAAGCAGTCTCTCATCTGACATGCTCCCAAGGCACTAATAGCACAAAAACCAAACTAAGGGACCTGTGGGGAGCAGTCTGATGGCTGAGGCAGGAGTACACTTTCAGCCCAGATCTAATACTTTCAGTCTGAGTGGATATGAGAATAACAATTTCACTCCCTCCTGCAGTAATGCATATAAGTAAAAGATTAAATTATATAGGAAGAAAAATTTGGTTTGTACAAAATATACTGAGCTGTTCTCTTTCTTGGTTAATTATCTTTTTCTGGAGAGGGAGAGAGAGAGAGAAAGAAGGAAATCTGCAAGTTTGTTTTTCTAAGCAGGGCTTTTTTGAATTTAATTTTAAAGGGCTGCACTGGGTTTCCCAGTGACTCATTTCCATGGTATGCATCCTCTCAGTATGTGCTAGTGAACTCCCTTCAGAAGATACAGTGCTCTAAACGCTACATGATTCTCTCCTCATTTAGTCCAGTATATACTAGCTGATTTCACACATTAGTTTATTCCAATATGGAAGAGAGAACTATTCAGGCCTAGCACATGCTGTTAAAATAGAAGGGAGGGAGGGGGAAGATACGTACCAACAGGGTATGTTTATTAACTTGCAAGAGAATGGTGGCTGTTGAAGGTGAACTGCTAGAGATAAGAGTCAGGTCATAGGAGCTGGACCGAAGGAGACTGCTAACAAACACGAGCTGACAAGGAGTGTTTGCTTAAGTCACTTCTTAGCTGTTGCTGCTGCCTGAAACCTTCCAGGTCTGTTTAGGCTCACTGGTTTGACTGCTGCTCGTAGACTTGTCTATCTGAGTGCCTGTAATTTGTTCCAGTGTAAGATCCAGCAGGTTAGCCGAAACCATTGCTGAAGGTCATACAAGGCACTTGCTTGATTTTGCCCTGAAATGGATTCAAAGCTCTCCAACAGCTGATTACAGCTACACCACAGTTCCAGACGGTACTTCTCACTGTCTTCCAGCTATTAAATATCTCCCATGTCAAAAAGAGGCCCTGGCAGCAACATGTAGACAGGCTGTGTGTGCTAATGTATTAATTGGGAGTGTACAGTAGGTATGCTAGCAAGTATACAGTGACTAATCTCAATCTACAGCAGCATAGACAGCTGTAGACCTACCCATATGGTTCAAACTTCCCTGGGAACAAGCTGCTGTTCAGTGTGTACCAGGACTTTGAAACTGTGAGTGCCACCGAGCTCCCAAGCCAAAGTCAGCAGAAACAAACAACAAAGTTCAAACAAAGAAACTTACTTTGGAGCCAGCACTCTTGGCTGCTGATAAAATAATCTGTAAAAAGGAAAAAATATCCACTGAATAATACATGAATATGCCTGGAAGAGAGGAACAGCAGTTTAAAGGTCAGGAAATAAAAAGCCAGTACTTACTGAGGGAAAAGCTGGATTAGCTTCTCTTCTGTGTATTGGAGTTTCATGGAGCTGCATGATGAGGTGGGAAAAGAAAGGGATTGTAATGCTTTTCCTAAAACAACAATCAGGTTCAGCTTCAGGACCTGTTGCTGTACTGACAGCTGTCCAAGTTCTTGCTCCAGCTGCTGCGCGCACTGCTCTGCCTGGTACAGAGAGTCAGACATTGCCTGTATGCGCCTTCAAAGAAGCAGAGCACACAACAGAGCAAAGGCAGAAAGATGCTGGCAGCTCTCTGAGTCTCGTGAAGTCAAGTCAGAGTGTAGGGGTCAAAAACCAGGGAAGCACATGCTTGTTGGGGACTGCTACTTCTGGTCATGCATGTGCTCCATTCCCTGCATAACTGTTTCTGTGGAGGGCTGAACTACCTGAAATATATCATACTCTAAAACAGCATTCAGAGAAATAAGCATCTTACTAGACAAAATGTTTTTTAATGGCTTGAAATAACCAGAAATGCTTCTGTAAGAGATCATCTTTTCTCTTTGCATTTTGTTGTTTTGTTTTTACAAGATCAGTAGGTCACGACAAAGGATGGGAAAAGGTGTGGCTTGTCACATTACAGCTATGGTCCGACATGGCAGTGAAGTCACTTGGGCCATGTACCCTGTTCTGCCACAGTGTAAATTCTCTTTTGTGCAGCTTTGAGATAGCTTTTAGGACCAAAGCTAAGTCAGTTAACTGTACATTAGTTTGCATCACGCAATGAAGCTGACCCCTTTAACTGTAAGGTTTCTGGAGAAGCATCTACCATTTAATTTTGTTCAGAACAGGCTTCTGGTCCACAACTCAAGTGCTGCCATAACACAAATACATTCATAAAGTGAGTGGAAAGCACTGATCATAGAGTGAAGAAGATTAACATGATTAGGAGACTGGAGGGTTATTTCTAACTCTGCCAGAACTCCTTACATGATCATTCATGTCACCTCTCTGATTTACGTTTCTCCATCTAGTAAGATGGGATACTCAATCCACATCTCAAAGCAGAGTGAGATCCTGTGTGTATATGTGCACGTGTGTGATTACACCCTGATAATGAACCCACTGTTAACCTGTTAGTCATGGTCTCTGTGATCCACAACAAAAAAGGCCTCACTCATGCTGTACAAATACAGAGCTGTCCTGAAGGGCAAGCAGACCAAAACAGAAGAGGTTGCATTATTACTATTTTGTTTTAAGAAATCCAATAATTATAGATTCATCATTGCATAAAATAAAGAACAAGTGACTTCTTGATAATAATTACTTATACCGTCAGTGAAGTACAGCTCCTGTAACAATGCTCTGCATTATTAATTACATACAAAACAGAATACTTACAAGATTTCTGGGCAAGGAAGGTAATACGGGAGGTAGTGCACTTTTCCATTTCCAACTGTAATCCTGTGATAGCAAAGAAACGTTTTAAGATAGGTAACGTTGGAAGATATCTTCCTAGGATTTTCCAATCTTCTGAGAATCTGGCACAAATTTTGAGAAGTAATTCTTGCTAACTGCTTGTCTACTTTATTAGTTAACATAGGATCCAGTGTATTCATGTTTTAATGTAATATACTGCTGCTAAGGCATAAATGGGAAACTCAGGACAAAACAAGTCCAGAAGCTTGTAACATCAGGTCTAAGTATTTTTATTAATATCAAGTGGCCTATGAAATGTAGGTCTACATGTTTTTGAAAAGCGTACACAAATGGATACACATAAGGCAATGCTCAAAAAGATTAAGTATGTAATACAAACTGATGTGACATACTGACACTTCCTGGAACTTTAAACGCTGTGTGTGCGTCCTTTAATTTACCTAGCAGACGAATAGGTTGCATAAGCTTTTTTCTCCCTTCAGTTTTGATCACCATCTATATAGACTTTTATATACAATCATGTACTACTGGTGAAATGCAAACACCCACAATGTAAAATAAGAGCAAATTGCAACATCAGAAATACAGTATAATTAAGAATAATTAAGGCTTAATACAGTCTGTTCTCATAGTGGAGACTCTCAGGAACAAATTTGTTTCAAACTGATTTTAATAAAACATATTTCTTATAAATAATGTCTTTAACTTTAAAAAAAAAATAATTGATACTTTGGTAGTTAATAGAAATGCCTAATCTCAGATTCCTTTCACACAGTGTTTGAGTTTGCTCAAGAGAATCTGTAAGGCATACTCTGTATTCAGTACACTCAGAGCTACCAACATTCCCAGTGTCTGAAAGCAGCAATGTTTGATAGCTAAAAAGCTATCCCTAGTTACACTGGAGTGAGTTTGGACTGTTTGGAGAGACAGATAATCATCTCTTTTAAGGCTGAACTGAAATGTAACTGAAATACTCTGTACTTGAACATTTGTTTGTGAGTCAGATAAGGTGTTAGCAACCTAAATTAGACACAATTGGTCTTTTTTTCTCTCTCCCTTCGGAGGCTTCTCCCTCCACTAGTGTTACTTTATCTATTGTATGAATTACCGTTCATTCTTACAGCTCTATGAGGGACTTTCCATAAAATGCACTGCCTATGTTTTTCTGCTACTACACGCATTACCGCATTATAGACAGGACGTTTTAAATATGATCAAGCTTGCCAGCAAATGCTTACCAGATAAACGTGATAACAACAAACAAACAGACAAGAAATCCCAACACTCTCCTGGAAATCATGTCTTCTAGAAAGAACAGCAATTTCTTACTCCCAGCAGCTTTCAATCTGCAAAGAACAAAAAAGCATGGGAAATTGCCTATAAATATCTCAGTATGAGAGAAATGGATTCTTTTATTTTAGAAGCATGAGGTTCTCCAAGCAGTTTCATTTTAATTCAGCCTTTCTGAAATCAGGAACGCGGAAGGAACCAGACTGTAAGAGCCAGGCCACTTAGTCACTGAGGCAGTTCCTGTAAACCATTTGAGAAACCTCTCAATTTCAATGAGATCTAATCACAGTTATAAGTGCAGGGGAGCCTTTCTGATTTGATCCTAGTTTCTATAGATTTCGTTTATTCATCTATAGCACAAACCCTTTGCAATTTAATAAACTCACCAAAACCAGTCATATCAGGTGATATGAAGAGCTAATACAGTTACCATTTCAGCTGGTAAACTCCATCTTTCACAGAAGAGTAACTGCTAGACAGCTGCCTCCAAAGATGCATGTATGAGAAAGGTAAGCTGTAAACGATGCAAGCAAAGAAACATTATATGACAATAATAATGCATATTGGCTAACGATATTTCTCTGCAAGTCTCCCTTCTCAGCTGCCATAAAAATCAACTTCCCCTAGCTCAGCTGTCTGACCTTAAAAGCTCAAATTAATCCTTTTCTGTTCACAGGGAAGTAAAGGTTCCCACAGTGTGAACCACAGGCCCCGTGACAAACACACAAAGCCTTTGCATGTGGCCTCCACAAGAGCTTGTTACAAGCATGTTAATTGTTACAGGCTACATTCATTGTTACCTTTAGTGAATACAAAACTACAGTACTGCAGGTAAGTCTCTTGAGTGTGCAAGCTCACTTTCGCCTCCTCAGCATCCTCCGTGTCCACATAAAGTGCTCCTCTGCAGAGCAAGCTTTCCAGGCTCCTGCTGTAGGGACTGTAATGCAGTCTCACGTTAGAGGAAAGCACTTTCTAGCATGTGACTGGAGCCTGGGGAAAAAAAAAGGCTGTTTGTCAAACTCCTATTTATAGACAGTCAACAGCATTTATGTTGGTGGAAGGAAACGGTACAGGGCACTCCTTTCAGGGAGGCTGAAGTAAGCATCAGAGATATCTTTTCTGTCCTGGCCCTTGGTAAGGCATATAACAATGCCTATGGATCTGAAAAGTCAGCGGCGATTCTCTCACCTTAATTTATTTGGTTGTAAAAGGACAGGTAGCAAGAAGTTCTTTAATTTGCTTTATTATGCCATACAGAAGTCTGCTCTCGTGCTTCTTCCTCACTCTCCTGTCAACTGATCTAGTCAGTTTTCATCAAGAAGCATCACAAAATCTCACTTTAAAAAAAAAAAAAAAGTCTCAAGGCATTCCATCATTTAAAGCCTTTGTGGATTCATGCTGACCAGTTCTGGATTCTTGCATAAAAATGCTGCAGATCCACAAACGTAGAAGGATTTGCAACCAGCCTTTCCCATCTAGCTGTTATTCTATGCTTTCACCAGTTTTATCTAACTCCTGTGCTAATTCCATAATGAGAGTTGCTACACCGATGCGAGGATTTTTTCAGTGCCACATATCTGACCTTGTGCTTGATGCCTCTGGCACATGCAAAATGGACAAGGGTGCAGAAGGGGCTTCAAAGAGTTGCTTTTCAATCATTCTTTGAGAACTGGGTAGGCAACCTATGCCCGTGCTTTACTGCCCTTCTCATCAGGAGGCTTCCTAATTTCCAACCAGGATCTCCCTTGCTGCAGTTTAGGTCTGTGCCTTTTTATGACAGTGATCTTGCACCTGGAGACTCCCTTTACATATCTGAAGGCTATGATATTTCCTTCCCTCTTCTATTCTGTGGGCATAAAAGTTAGCCTCAAATTGAATAGTAAAATTAACGCAGAATTAAAAAAAAAAAAAGACATGAGCATTCTGGTTGTTTTAGTGTAGTTTCAGCTATTATAATAGGCATAATGTAGTTCCATGTGTCTTTACAGAATAAAGATCTAATCCCTCAGGAAAAGTAATACACATATTTTGAAATATTGTATCATTAGGAGCACAGCTGATGCATTCCCCTCTTTGCTTCAATTTCTCTACAAATCTACAAGAACACTGGAGCTCGATGAGTTCAGAACATCTCCTTGCATTTAAAACCATCTCATTGACATTTACTGTAGTTGTCAACTCTAGGCTTCACAATGAATGCAAACAAAAATTAAATAGATGTCGTTGCAGTTAGTGACAGACTCTCCTAACAATCAGGAAAAACAGCTAAGGCACATTTAACAGTTACTCTGGTTCCTTGAATTTGTCCAGAGAGCTTTTTAAAAGTGATATAGTTGAAAGTAGCTATATTACTCCTAAATGAACTTGCTTGACCTCCCAGAACAAAGCAGTACTTTATCTTCAAGCCCTGCCTCAGAAAGCATTCTGGATTGCAAATAAATATCTCACTTGTAGACCATTCCATGGAAAATATTCTTTGTAGATCCACCATTTCAGATTTCTAAACCTGTATTTCAGATTTCTAAAACTGAAGTAGCGAGCTGTGAGCACAGTGTTGTTCAGAATGTGAAGAAAGAGAGGATATCTGTGGGAAGGGCTTCATCTGCGCTGCAGAAAAAGTTTCCTTGCTGGGCTCCATTATTAAACAGGCTGCTTTTAACTATTATAGCTTCAGACTGTGCCATGACACAGGAACATTCAATCATGCCTGAGTCTTGAACATGAACTTCAGTACAAATCCACTGCTTGGGCTTCTAGCTTTTCAGATTCTCATATTACAGCTAGCACCACAACGAGTTAACTTTACTCTGGCTGAGATCTGACTAGGAAGCACTGCACAGAGTCTACATTGCATTTACAGCACATTTGTCCGATTTTTTTATTTCAAGAGGCAAAAAATACCTCCTTTCACTATTGCACTTGTTCAGTGCAACAGAAATTTAAAAAAAATAGAAAAGGACCAAATCTATAACATCACTGACATTAGGACAAACTTGTTACTTTACACCAACAGTGATCAGGACATCAGCAAGATTTGACTGATCTCATGTATAGAGTTGCTTTATCTTCTGGATGGATCGTTTCCACCAATCTTCCCAACGCTGAATTGTCAGCAGCTGAGCTGTACTTTCTTCCTTGATCTGGGCAAACTGCTGCTCGAGTTTACATTTGTATTTCTGTATAAAAAACAACAAGAACAATAAATGACAAAATTGGTAATGATGAAACAGAATTTTACTTTGCCTAAATCCAAGTCCTGATGCACTGTGTCAGAAGATTGCTTACAGGCCACTTATTTTCTGCCTTAGACAATAGAACTATATGAACAATGAATTACTCATTGCCTTCCTTTGGTGTTCCTTTTAAAGACTTCTGAAACTAAATTATCAGCAATAGTTAAATTTTGCTAAAAATGCAAGATCTCCATCTCACTTCCATTAGCTCTCTTTAATCAAAGAGCTGCCTTCTCTAGAGAAGAGAGAGGAAAGTGACCGTCTCAAAGACGGAATGCACTCTGGCTCATGCTGGAACTTTCTAAATCACGAACTGAACTATTACAAAGCTGCTAAAAAGGTATGTCAACTAAACAGGAACTTGTAGACTACCAAGAAAACCTCAAGGCACCTTTATTAAAGAGTCCCTGCTCCAAAATATAAAATACTGTATTTTTAATGCAACATACATTCAGGAAAATATTTCTGTGGCATGCATTTACTGTATCACATTCTGCTGACAAACTACATTCACTTCAAAACTGTACTGTAACCTGGTGCATAGGTACCATAACTAGATACATAAAACATATGCAAACTTATACTTTTGATTGCATTTGCCATTGTTGACAGTGCATTTTACATTTCCCTATTAAAAAAAAAAAAAAAATTCAGTTCGCTGGCAGTACAGTCACTTCCAGGACAGATGCATAAACACTGACCATTTATTTCCAAATGACTTAATGTAAGAATATTCTCTACTTCTCACTACTGTTTCACAAGCTACTGCCAGTGCAAATCAGAGTCTTGGACTTGTCTGGAACGTGCTCATTCTTCTAGCAGACTTAGTGAAGAAAGAGTGATCATTTTTATGGTGGAAACAATGATCTGTGATGGTTCAGGATATAAGATACGTATGAAGTATCTTATACCCTTCACCTTTTATGGAAAAATCAGCCTTTGTGATCTAAGGCTAGAGCCGTAGGCTTTAGAAAGAGAGGTGAATGAAAGCAAGCTGTATTGAAATGGCACTGTGTCAGCACCTTACTTTTTGAATTGTGATGCTGCTGAAATGCATGAAGTGTCCTGTTTCTGCCACCATCCATGCTTCTCTGATAAAACAATTCCCCATTGCAATGTATCTGAATGAGAGGGCTCCCTGAGAAACCAACTCTACTTTAAACACCATCAGAAAGAAACAGACACAAGAGAGGATTTCTACCCAGGGTTGATACGGCTTTAAGATCTGAAAACTGAGTACATTAAAAACTTATATATAGCTATAATTTTCTTTAAAAAAAAAACAAATCCACAACAGTAGCATCCCTACTCACAGTCCTTTCCCAGAGACCAACCTTATATACAGCATCTCTTGCTTCTACTACTGCTACGTGGCCCAGTGTAGTCTTAGCTGTTGTAACTGATGCAGTTTCTCTGCAAAGAATATAGTCTGAATTGTCTGTAAGAGTAGTCATAGGTATTCCTGGCCAAGTCCTTTAAAAAACCAAAATAAACAAACACGCCACATGAGAGAGAAAGTTAGAAAAGAGAGCAGATTATACTTCTGTTACTCGTACTTGAAGTGCAAAAGATTAAATGGGATGTTTAATCTCCACAAAAGAAGTACCCTAAAAACTACTTTATTTAACACAAGCACCTTTTCTTTTAAGACTTCAGGATCTCTGCACAGTAAGTAGAATTCATATCTTCAATATAGAGTATATTCATAGATCTGAAAGCATTGAATTGATAAATAGTGGCTAGCACAGCGGCATAGCAAGAACATTGAAATTGTATTGCTTTTCAATACAACACATAATTCACTTTTATTTATTTGGATCTATTGCTATTCTTTCTTTAAGATCATTACCCATCCAAACTGCCCCATAACTAGATAAAGGTCATCACTAATGATGAACATAGTATTCAGCAGTTTCAACAAGACAGCAAAAAACTATGAGGAGAATGTCTGATACCAGTTTAGAGAAATTACATAGAACAGTGTTCAGTATCTTCAAATATTACCTGCTCCCACGCTCAATTAACTGTTTAACTTCACAGATTTCTAGAGGGAGTCCAGCTTGTTTACGACGGATTAAAGTGGATGTCTTCTCTCTTGGTATTTCAGTTTCTGGGAGAGAGTAGAAGCCAGACTCAGCAGCAACAAAACAATGGCAGTAATACCATTGTTTTGAAGTAACTATACGGAGCTAGATGTTCTTCACTTTCAAGAAATAGCTTTGCACGCTTCATCATGTAAATCTTTCCATTTAAAGTACTATAGCATGTAAAAGTCTCCCGTTCCTAGGGAAAATCTGCTGCAATCTCTGAGAATGAAGTGGAGGCCTGAACAAGCAATCTCGTCTGTACTTACTTGCTACTTGTACATCATCAATAGTGATACTTTCATCTAATTCCAGAAGCAGCTTTTCAGTGAAGGTAGCTAGTGCAGAAACAAAGTTCTGAGCACACTCAGCAGCACAGTCCTGTTGGGACATTGGACACAAGTGAGAGGAATTACTTTGATAATTTGATCTCCTCTCCTTTTAGTTTAGCTCAGGAAGAACTACACAAGTATACAACCTTGACATTTTGCATCAGCTGCAAATAACAGACATAAGGCTCTAAGTTGCACATAAAAGGGCTTAAATGTGCCTCTCTGCAGTATTCTCAACACTACCTGCTTGCCTAAGGTAGAGTACATAGTGTATAGTTGCTCAGTAGTTGCATATTTGGTTTAAGCATCTAAACCTGATAAAAAAAACAGCTACCTGTAAATGAATCCTTCTGCCCAAAGCAAAGGCCATTTTGGACTACGGGTACTTTGGGTGGAAGTGCTTTGGCCAGGTATTATTGTAAAACAGGGTGTGTTTCTCTGTGTGTAGAGAGAGAAGGAGCTATTACTTCAGAATCAAAAAATTCAGAATTTTGAGTAAGTGGTCTGAGCAAAATAAACAAAGAGCTTTAATGCTGGGGAACTGACCTTCAATAACCCTAGAGGATGGAGCAGGAAAAGTGTTTTGATTCCTGGATCTCTCCTGTAAAATTCTGCTTATTCCAGTTCTTAATCTTGTGTAGAAAAATGTCAATTATTTGCACTAATGAAATGCACACAGAAGAAACCCTTCCAGGCATCTGTTGTCTGCAAGTAATATAACTAACCAGAGGATGTCACTGTTGCTCCCAATTTAGACTTAATAGCCAATAATTCTACCATTAAGAGATGTCATCTCTTTCTCGGTATGTTTTATGAATGATACAAAAGATGAGTGAGTTCCACAATAAATCTGTGTGCACATGTGCATATGCATTTATGTCTATATTGATCTAATGCTGATAATACGTAACTTAAAAGATACATGAACAGGATTGCCTAAAACTGAAAACATTTTCCAGTTTACTTTTGATGGAGAGGAAAAATGTATCCAAGATGTACTCTCCTTTCCAAATGCAACATCTAAGTTCATATTAAGCAATGGTTTTACAATTACCTGCAGCATCTGTGCATTGCGATGAATACCATCAGCTTGGTCTTTTTGCCTTTTTATTTCCTCTTGGCACAAAGCATCCAGCTGAAGTAAGTTGTCTGGGTGTCCCAGAGAAGGATGCAACTGGTTCTTGTGCACAGCCTTTAAGTAAATACATAAGAAAGAAATGCCTTCAGTAAAGAATGTGCAATTGAGTCATAACAAGGAAGAAGTAAAACCCACATATTTTATATAAAAGTATTCAGAAAGACAAAGAGTTCCTTGACTCTCTAGGGATAAACTTTGCAGGGCAGTATATACCAAATTGCCTATCTGCTGGAGAGCAAGGCCTCTGAGCTCACTTTGGTTTTTGTTTTCAACAAATAATAATCTCTCCTACCAAGTGATAAACAAGATATCTTTTATACCTTTATATTTGTATTTTTTCCTGAATTTAACTTAATACTCAGAGGAATAAAATCTCAAGATACTACTCTGTAACTTTTTCTGCATGATCTCCATTATGATTCTGTTATCAGTTCTGATATTATCAGAAAAAATATACCTCTTTTTTGAAAGATAGTAAATAATGATATTTCATTATCTGTATGTCACAGTACCTACAAATGAGCGCACCCATTCAGTGTGAGCTGTATAGCCATAGTGCAATGTCACAGCCCTTAAGGAGTTTACAATCTTAAGTGTAAGATGACAGGCAGTGCTGTACAAGACTATAAAGAGGCAGCCCAATGCTGGAAGCAGTGAGAGAAGGGACCGAGTTACTAGAAATACAAGGCTTCCAGTAGAACTACACAGACTAACTGCAAACACAGAACTAAATCCATGCCTGGCTCAACAGTGAGTGATTAAGCAAACAGTGAGATTAATAAAAAGAACATTTTATAATTCTGATGCATTTAGCATTGCTTACACTGGAAGCATTCCAATATGTCCATGATACATACCTTCACACTCTCCCAGTCTTCCAGCTGTTTATTGAAGAGGCGCCGAATCTGACCAGTGGAATAGCTGAGCTTCTGCTCATGTTCTTTTAAAAGACTATAAACTGCCAACTGGGAGACATAAGGGATCTCCTTCTCAAACAACTTCAACTGATCCTGAAATTCTTTTTGAAAAAGACAGGGTGTTTATGTGACACAGAAGTATTCATTGCAAGGAAAAAAAAAAAACCCAAACACTCAGCTGAGTTGAATGTAAACTGCAAGGGTCAATCAACCTGGAATTTTCTCTCACAGAGATTCTGTCCCTGCCATTCCTTTTTCTACATCCAATGCTTTGAGAAATATGCACTTGCTAAAAGACGTGACCTTGTACAGTGCTCTCAACTTAGTCAAGTGCCCTTCTGCCACTCTTTTCATAGCTGATAATATATAAAAGAGAGTATTGGCCCAGTTTCCAGTAAAATCAACTGGAGTTTTTCCACTAAGTGTGATGGATTAAGAAAGCTACATAATTCTCAATCACTGCAATTTTCACTTTACATAACTGAAAAATTATATACACAAGAAACTAAAAGTCTTAACTGAACGAATTTACCTATAAGACAGGAATTGTAGTAAACATTTGTCTGACTTTGGTATGACAACAGCTTCTGTTTGAGCATTTCTGCACAATGTTCAAATGTCTTTGGCAGATCTTCAGGCATTGTGATTTGAGGTGTCTTTTTTTGGTAGAACTCCTTCAGGAGATAAAGATAAAACAGAAACATTGATAACACATTCAAACAAGTCACATCTAGGCATATTACAGTAGCTGGGATACATAAGGCTATCAACCACCAAAATAGCCATAAGGCTATTTGAGACCAGTTTTCTTCCTCTGATTCTGAAATGCTTAGTTAATATTTATAAAGAAACCTGTGATTAAAAATACACTGTGTCAAATACTTTTTAAAAATTAGATACATTGGTGAAGAAAGGAAAAATTTTGCATGGCTATCTAAACATTCTAAAGGACCAAAATTATTTAGCTGACACAGGAGATCTGTGAAAGCAAAAGTGACTCAAGAACACTAGGTTTTCTTACCTCAGCAAGGCAGAGCAAGCTGTTATTACCCATCCAGAGAATATTCATAATAATCCCCTTAAAGGTACTGAAAATAAACAAAATTTCACAAAATATTTAAAAAAGGACAATCACACTGTAAAATTATCACATTGGCAATATTTACTCTTTTTCAAATATTTTGTCCAGGTTTATTTTAATACATTTTTCAGAGCATACACAAAGAAATATTCAGAATGCCTAAGAACCTTCACCCCCATTAGTACAGATTCTCTTCAGAAGAAGCAAGGACTCTGAGCTATTGTCAGTGCTTACTGGAGAACACCTCCATGGCCCTGTAACAAAAAAGCAATCTTAGCCAACTTCCTGTGTTGAAAACTTACCTTAAGAGCTTATCACGCATTTTAGATAAACCAAAAATATTTGAAGGTGGATCTAGCTGTTTACTGGAAGTATTTTGAAACACAATGTGGAACAAAATTCCCAAGCATTTAAATGTCTCAGGCATTAATTTTAAGGGTTTTGCATGGCACATATGAAATATCTCAATTCTATATAGTACAACTGCACAGATCAAGAAAAAATGTGATCATTTTCTTAGAGGAGAATGGAACCATTTAAAAATCACCTCCTAAACAGTTTTTTCCTTGTTTATTCATATAAACATAATATTGAGCACAAGAACAAAGTGTATAAAATGTATTGATCTTTTTAGAGGTGAAAATAACTGAAAGACAGGCTATTTTGCATTTTCCAGCCCATTTTTTGTAAATGTACAAAATAGGCTCCAATGAAGCCACCTATTTCAGATGTTAAACAGACTAAAATGGGTAACTTTGATATTCACTATTATTACGCTTCAAAAGGAACTGTTCTGCAAACACTTTGACCCATAAATATGAAGGCTAAATACCTTAAAACTCAATGGTGAACTCTATAGTTCACAATGATGGATGGATGGATGGATGGATGGATGGATGGATGGATGGATGGATGGATGGATGGATGGATGGATGGTTTTTTCAGATTAACTTCTATTTCTGCAAATATACATGACTTACTCAGATTCTGGAGGCTTCTCCCCAAATATTTTGAATGTCTTGTCACTCAGAACTGGTCTGGTGTACTTCTGTATCCTAGGGAGGTAGAATGTTAATTTAAAACTATCCACAAGTATTTTCCTTCTCTGGCTGATTATTTGAGCTAGTCAGTCATATGATGGACATGAAATAGAAGAAAAATTCAGAAAAAATGTAACTCTAAAACTAGTTTAATATGAAAATAATTTTTTGGTGGAAGAAAATTCTCATCAATGGCTCTTCAAAACTTTTCTGTTGCTTTCAGTATTACAGTAGCTTGTTTCATCTGTCTACGGACTAAGCTGAAGACATACTATTTAGACACCAGACCTGAAATTTAAGCCATATTAATTTAAGAGTGGGGTTAGTCTATATTTCAACAACTTCAAAGTACAAAACAACAGCAGATGAGGGAGAAAAAGAATAATGTTTTTCCAGCCAAAATCTGAAAAAAAAACCACACAGGGCTGATCATGAGGACATAAACAGGGAAAAGATCCCAAATGATATGCATAGATGGAAAGAAGGCTAATGCAAAGAAGCATTAAGAATTTTTCGAAGAACAGGAAGTGGATAAAGTTTAGGTAAATTTCTGCATAGGAATATTATAAGTGGAATTCCTCCTTTCAGGGGTCTTACCTTCCTGTTGGCATCTTTCTGTTAAAAGACTTCTTGGGGATCTGAGCTGCATAGCTGTAAGTAGCAGAGTTCTGAGGACCTTCATCAGATACATTTAAGTGAGAACTCTTCTTTGGGGTGGGAAGAACTGCTTTATGTTTAACAAGAAAAGATGAAGAACATTGTATAAATGCCAACTGAAGTCTTTTTTATATGGTTACATAGTTTGTGTTCTCATTTCTATAACCTTTCCTTACAACATTAAGGGGACAACTATAGGAACAATCATTTCTGGCAGACAGAACTGACATAACCTGGCAGTGGCAACAGCAATAAAGGCTGTGCACTGGGGCATGAGAAATGGGAACGTCACAGGAAATACATGGTAGATGGGAGGAGATTTAAAACAACATTAAGACAGGTAATAAGACAGAGAATGAATGGGCTACATTCAGAGTCTTGGCTGTGATGGGGACTTAGGAATGTGGAAGAGAGGATATATCTTTGGAAGTGGCTAGAGGAGTCAAGCTCTGGAGAAGACAGATGAGGAAACAGGAACACTAGGTAGGGAGTAGCTGGGGTTACATCTGCACTCACCTCCGAGTGAACGATAATACACTGTGAGAAGGATCCCTGATCCCCTACATATTTTCATGACTTTTAATTCTTTTCTCCACCCCTTTACCCTTTTGCCATCACAAATATGGGTACTTTTTATAAGATTATCATCTCATTCTGCAGCTTCATTGGTTAAGAGCCAAAAATCATCTTCTTATTGCAAAGTAAAGATGTCCAAAAAAAAAGTTGGGATGCACAACTCTTTCGGAGCTAGCATGTGAGCCACTGGCCTGGAACATGCTACACCTGCTCAGTGATATGCTAGGAACTACAGTTTAGATGAATGTAATATATTAAAAGAAATGCTGGCACACCTGGTCCTAATGAACGTGAGCGATCATTTCTCTCCTGATTTAGGCCTGAAGATTTTCTGGATGGCTGAATTCTGAAACAAAACAAAACAAAGAGCTAAGCAGCTACTCAATACCCTGCTGTTTTATATTATATACTGTACTATATTATATATTATATAGAGAACTATATAAGTTCTTTATCCCTACCATGTACTAAGTTAAATTTCTGAGATAATATTTAACAGATAGGATTACTTTTACAACTGACAGTGTAAATATAAATACTTTTATGGGACTAATTGTTTAACTGGAATCTCATAATTTCTACAAGCAAAACTGCATTAAAATATTTATTTGCAAATCACACACTTGTCACACTGTTCATTTCACACTTTGTATGTTCATTCAACTATGTAGCATGTAATCACCTTTCAACTAAAATAAGACTCTAAAAGACAAAAATTTAATACCTAAAACTTCACATAGTGCTATAAACTAGATATCACTTATTACTTACGTTGGGGGATTTTTGACTATTAGAAATCTTGCTCTTAAAAAGAAAGCAGTTTCAGCTAGACTGATTTTTAAAGCTACGCTGATCAGAAAATATGTAGTAGTATTATCTATAAACAATATGTTCAATAGTTCTGCATATACAAAAGTAAACTACAAAATATGAATTCGGGAAAACCTTTATATGCTTCTGGAATATACATGTGAAAAAGACTGTAGTGAAGGCCCACGTAGTGTCATCATGAGCCTCATGACGCAAAGAGGTATATATAGCAAAGAAAATATAAAGACAATGACAGAAAAATACCTTTAGGCAAAGAAGTACTTACTCAAGCAATTTTTTTATAACGCTTATTGATAAATCATCAACTGCAGACTTTCCCATTCTGCTTGGATTTAACAAAGGAAATTTGTCAGGATCCATCCCCATCACCATCACTTTGTTCTCATCTCTGAGACACTCTGTTCGAATGGCAACAGCAATTGGACCTTGTAACGTAACATCCGCTGGAAGAGGGGTAAAGTCCTCCTGAAATGGGAAGAAAAATGAAACCCTGTTGAATGTGGCAGGCAATTAGTGAAAGCATGACACGTAGTTAGTGATTACTAAAGCAGATTTTCCAAACATACACTATTTTGCTTCACAGGCTGAAAGAAAATTTTTTATAATTCTAGGAGTAATGTTGTTACAGCTATACAATGCTGAGACACTTAAAAGTAGTTAAGAGTAGATTCTCATAATTATCATAAGCAGTATTTAAGTATATACCCTTAAAACAATGATCCACTGTAGATTACAAAACAACGACAGACTTTCCAGACAAGGAAGGTAAAAAACGCCAAACCACTTAATAAAAAAAAAACCTCTTCAGGATACATTTGATTTTTTTTTTTTAGTTATTTAAAGAAGTCCATGAAATATGTATCTATGAATAGTGCTACACCTTGAAAGTAAACTCGTGAAGAACCAAGCAACTCATTGTGATACTGCACATCTTTAACATTTAGTAAACTCAGTGGTGACTGATTTACTCAGCTTCTTAAAAAAGCTGGCCTAATGCTACAATGTCTTGGACAGCTTGGCATAATGCAGCATCTTTCTTCATCCGAAAATTCAAAGCACAGATTCTGAAAAACCTTTAAAATGTATATACATAAAAATTCACTCAATATTAAATAAAACATAGAGAACTTAAATGCTATCTTACATTATCATGCGGGCTCATTGCTTTTACTAGCAAGCAGTCAAGATACTGGCTCCTCTTTTTCAGTTCTTTCAACACTACTTTGGCAAAATCATACAACCCTTCAGAAGTCAAAGCCTGAAAGATATAAAAATACAGATTTACTAAGCTATCTATTTCAGAATTTTCAAATATACTGACTGTTGCATACAACATCATTTGATTCCATTCTGTCACCGTTTTATTTACACATACATGGAAGAAATGAGATTGTGTAGAGGCTGAGGTTTTTGTTTGGCAAACAGGAAAGCAGGTACAGGACCTTCCTGAGCAAAAATTCTGTGGTAAAATATTTTATTTATCTTTCCACCCAACCTTCCAAATGTGTATAAACATAAGTCTACCTCAAAAATATATGTTTATACATTATACAAACATGCAGAGTGAGTAAAATTAATACCAGGTCAAATTAAATACCATTTCATCCTGATTAGAACTTGCTGCTTTATCTGCAGTAGGATGAGCACAAGCATCTATCTTCTGATGGAGCTTCTCCAGATAAGAGTTTAATGTCACTGCCTGCAAATTGGATTTTGCTACCTAAAGGAGAAACAGATAATGGTGAAATCTCATGAATCTCATTCAAAGGATTTTCAGAGGATCCATTTTGAAACCACCAGACCTGCTGGTAAAAATACTGAATCGATGGTACTCAGAGGAGAAGCTGGAAACAGTAATTCACAAAAGCAACACTTCATGCCTTTTACTGCACCACACAAAAATGCTGGTCTATTCAGATGTATATACTCAACGTGCTGCAAGACCACAGAGTTCCAGCATAGTTGCAGAGCAGTAAAAACATAGTTTTAAGCTGATAATGATAGAAAACAGGTTTTGAATTAATATAAAAAGTCACTTAATGTTTGTCCACTCTGAATTCAGCCAAAAATCTCTTCAATGGAATAAAAGATAAATTATAATTCATTTAAGCAAAGTTCTGATGTTTCTGTTTGTACCTCTGATTTGATTTGCACTTGTAGATTTGTCAAAAATCGTCGGATCTTCTCCATAAAGACTCGATTCATAAAGAGGTAACGGAACTTTGTTTCAGACTGGTTGATAAGTTCAGTAGCCTTTAAGAATGCCAGAAAAAAGAGACAGAACTAATTAATTCTCACTTTTTAAAACTTAAATAGAACTCAGCACTCCTAGTTATTTTTTCCGTCATGTAATTGTCACACAGAACAGTCTTACAGTCCTAATGTGGGAGCAGGCTGATTATAAATCACATCAAATATGCAGATATAATAAATAATTCGAAAGAATGAAACTCTGCACACCTGCTCCAAGCAGCTCGATTCCATTTTCTCCACATCCGTCTTGATTAAACTTTCAAAAGAGTCAATACGCTTACTTTCTTTCTGAAGACGCTTGCTGAAATACTTTACCTCCTCAGGAGAAAAGTTACCTCCCTCCAAAAACAATCTGAAAGCAACCAGCAAAGTAAAAGCAATTGGCTATGAGTCTTCCTTGTACCAAAGGCTATTTTAGCTAAGCAGCCCGAAAACATAGATATCAACACAAATGTGATGAAAACGGTATAATAATTGTGACTTAACAAAATAAATTTGTTTTTTTAAATAGCAAACTAGATCAATAACAAAATAATCATTAATTTTACTGTTCTGCCTATGCAATAAATGTTGATGCCCAGAAATAGGTAACTATTTTTAAACAATACTCCAATGAAATCTCTATACCTGCAAGCTTTGAGAAAATCCACATTTGAATCCCTTAATTTTCCTAAAGCTTCCTCCAGATAGTTCCGGTAACTCCTGAGAGAAACCTGGATCACTTCCAGATGATTATGTAGCTCTGAGTGCAGACTGTTGCTGAAAGAAACTAACCTACCAGCAAATAATAAGACAGGGGAGATATACAGAAAGAGGAGCACACATTATGATTCAGAGACTGCTGGCTGTAAAGCCATGAACAAAATCTTAGAGCTCAAGACTGTTTTAGTATTCTGAAAGCAATTCACTGAACTGTGATTGCTCTGATGAACACTTGGAAGATATCAGCAAGGAGTTGATGCTATTGAAGAGTATCCGTCAAAACCAATTAGTCAATTGCTGTTACTGTGCAACTTCAGTAAACTGTTTAAAATCTAAACAGATGAAACATCTTTTTTACTTTAAGACTGCCAGCACTTTGAAAATACATGAAAATTGTCATGTATTCAGCACTGATTTTAATTTCTTCAGGGAAAGATAGAGGAAACAAAAACTCTTTAAATTTTTTTAAAGTTTCATGAAGCAGTCTTCATTGAAGAGTAATGACATATAAAATAGATTCAGATGCAAACCAGGAACATCTCAGACCGCAATCAAGAGTATTTAACTATGGAAATTCACAGCCAGCAACACCTGTGGCACACTTACTTCTCAGTCATAGGAGCACTGAGGAAGACAGACTCCATGTCACAGATTCGTGAATGTAAGTTTTTGCTGTTATTATTTTGCTGATCACAAAATTTGAGAAATTCAGCACGCTCTTTTTTCAGAGCTTCCACCACCCCTGCACAGTGGCACTCGAGACGCTCTTTGTGAAGCAACAGTTCCACTGATAAGAAAATAAATTTTACAATATGGTCATTATTCCCTGTTTACTATGGGCTATCACAACCACCAGCCAACCTATTATCAGAAGCAGCAGCAAGATAAACCGAGCCAAATCTCAGAGTGGCTGAAACATACAAATAAAATAGATCTGATTCTGTTTCTTTGACTTGTCTCCTGTGTTTGACATCTATTCCTGGCAGCTCCCAATCCATTCAAATCACAAATGTCTTTTGTTTACTCTAAGCCCTCTTTTTCCTTTATTTTTGGTCACTGCTAACATATGCACTATCTATCTGATCTCAGTCTTGTAACAAAAGTAAAGGTAAAGGATTTTTTTCTTTAATGGAAAATACAATTCTCCCTACTGTTGTTGGGAAAAAAAAAAAAATCATTTTTGGTCTCCCTTCTGGAATGATATTGGATAAATCAAAAGCCAGCCAATCAACCTTAAGAAAACTGCCAGAAAAGGCACCTGTCCTCTTTGCAGGAAAAAGTGGAATTGAAAAATTATTTGCCTATTCTCCCAGAAGACAATTTTTTACTTTATATGTTAAAAACCAACAAACCTGTCTTAAATATTTTTTTCCACCAGAAAAACCTGACACTTCTCAAAAAAAAAAAAAGCGTTCTTATTAGTGGCCAATCTGTAGCTGCTCCATGATACTTCATGTAGCTAAATCCTTCCTCTCCTGTATTCGGAAGTCAAGCCCTGGCATTTTGTCTCTCCCAACACTTGCTAATTCTTCTTCTGCAACACTTTTAAAATTCTTTTTTGTACACTGCAAACTCGTTAAATAATTTCAAGGAGAATGAGGATTCACAAATATTGACAATACAAACTGAATGCTCTACATCTGTTACAATCAAGTCATCGATCAAGGCACTGCTGGGTGTTTTCCAAACATAACATAGCACAAACCAGTATGAGCTATAGAAAAAAAACATCTTTTTAAAAATACATGAGTAACATATTGTACTAGGAATTAGTAGACACTCAGCTGCTTCCTGCTGTCCTCTATTACTGAGTCAACTGACACTGAAACATATTTTGGTCTACTTCTGGTCATCTCTAAATGAAGACACGCAATGCTCAGAGTAAAAAAAAGTCGGTACCAGCTCTAACATTGCAGATATTTGTCTCTATATTCTCCTGCCTTCGTTGATGCAAGCAAAGACGTAGATGAAGTTCTGAATTCAGCTCCTCTTTCTTGGCAGCTACAAAGACACAGGAGTTGGACAAAGACTCTGCAAACCATTTCTCCAAGTGCTCAAAAAAGCAGAGGCGAATCCTATGAGTGAAAAATATTACAGTGAGGAACAGTAAGTAATAAATAAGGATTTATTAAATATATTAATTCTAAGAACTTAACTTCTGACTATAGGAAGATATGTTTCATTACCATTTGCACAATACCAGTAGAGTTTTTGAGCTGGCTGCATAATACTGAGTACCAGGCATTTTACCTTCGTGGCTCTGCAGGGAATTTGGGCAAATTACTTGCCTTTCTGTAGTATGTTTTCTCAGTAAATAATTTTCTGTAAAATATTAGTGTTCTGTAAGAGGTAAATGCTTGTGTGGTACCTTGAGAGCCACGATGAAAAGCAATATATAAATTTTCATTTATTTTTATCAGTTTAAAAAGAGGAATAACATCAAAATAATTAGATAATTTTAGTCTAATATTTCTTCCAAACAGCTGAAATTTGTCTATTACCTAAAGGGAAAGAAAGAACAAACTGTTTTCTACTAACCGTTTCTTCAGCTCTACAAACACAGTTTCTTTGATAAGTACACATTTCAGGTACATAGGAAGTGATTCTTTGTTTTCATATTTTGTAAAATAAGCCTCTGGGATGTCAGTCTTTCCTGCCTCTTCAGCTCCAAGAACTGTGTAAGAGTTTCCACTAGAAGTGGAAAAGGTCTCAACAGCAATTTCAGAGTTTTCTGCCTTGCTGCTGTTGAACATAACCTAGGAAACAACTGGAAATCATCATCTGTTACCTTTAAAGGTATAATCATAGAATCAACAGTGCACAAGCTGATGTAAGAATCCTAAGGACATTAAGAATAACATTCTCGTTCTCAGTTTGGACAACATTCATGCAGAGAATATGCTTGCAAGTCTCAATAGGCAGAGTCATCAATGTTTTAAAAGGTTTTTGTTATGGTAACAAAGTCACATAACTAAAGACCTGAAAAACCAATACTTAGATACAAATACAGCTTAAATCATTCATCATGGGTTAAGAATACTATGATGAAAGAAAGAAAGAAAGATATTTCAAAAAAAATTCCATGCAAAAGGTTTTTACAAGGGTAAAGCAGTGCAAGAGGAATGGTTGTAAACTGTTTTATACACTCCATTTGCACATAAAAAGGTCTAAACCCCTAATAGTCCAGAAATAAATGGAAACAATAAAGACTCCTGCATGTTTTGTGTACAAACTAAATCTAATCTCTGTTAAGGAATTTAGACTTACCTCAAAAAAAGACGACTTGCTATTCATCAATATTTTTTGCAAGACTCCACCTTCAAATTTATTCTCTTGTTCACTTACCTGTGTAAAGCTTACCCCTTGTTCTGCATGCTCAGTTTCTTCACTTCCATAAGGAATAACTTCTTTTTCCTCTGTTTCTTCAGTTTCCTGTGCAAAGACCTCCTCATTCTCAGTTGTGATTGTTTCTTCATTTTCTCCTTGAAAACTGTCCGTCTTTTCTTCTGCTTCATTTTCTTGCACAATGCTCTCAGCTTGCTGCTCCACCAGACATTCAGCTTCTGAAGCCTTAACTAGTTCTTTCCAGTTAAAGCAGAGTTTTACTGGTCACAATCCAAAGAAATACAGATTGAAAAACAAGCAAGCAAAAATACCTGTTTGTACTGTTGATGTATTACCTTGATCTTGAAATGTGGAGTCTGTCTTTCCTTGCAAGTTCTAAAAGCAAAACAACAACAAAAAACCCCACACAATTTAAAAATAAGGATTTGCTTGCTATTAGAAATCCATATTCTCTTACTATTAAAAATCCATATTCCTTCTCAAAATATATCTATTTCAACAAGATATGATAGTCTTGAATGGATCACATCTTCTAAAGAAGCTGTAACACTCGAATTGATTAATATCATTTTATTACCTTGCAGTTTTCTGTTTAAAAGGCAAGTGAATTTGCTGAAATGCAGTTTGTAACAAGGACAGAGTTAAAAGTGTAGGACAGAGAAAGGTTTTGTGTTATCCCCTCTATTACTACCAAAAGCACTTAAGTCCTATAGTCAAAACAATGCTTTAGTTAATATAATCCAAATTTTAAAGCTAATGTAAATGTTCCCAAAATTGAAAAATTAATACACCAGTAAGATTTTAAACCAGAAGAAGTTGTTTTTCTTTATACCTGTTTGAAGATTTCCTTTACATTAAAATATTGGCTGATGGATATACTATAAGAAATCAATTCCCACAAAATAGCTTCTGGGTAAGCCATTACTTTATCCATTAGAACTTGGTTGAATGTCTCATACCTGTCAAATTTAAGGTCACTGTTTAAGAGACTTATGTATGTATAGAAATAAAATTAAATATGACTACAATGTCTTTAAATCAACACATAACTTTTTGACAAATCTCATTAAACCTTTGGGCTAAACATTGTACTATGTCTGTTTAGCGTGAATACAACCACATCCTGGCTTGTAGGGATTAGTTTATCAGAAATATAAATGCACAGAAGTTAAGAAATATTCACAATAAAGTATTTCAGATCTTTCATTTTGGATGGGGAACCATTCAAGACCTGTGCTTACATAAGGAATATTAGAGGTGAGAGGTCAAATTACTGTCCTTCATGTTAGTTCTGTATCACACTCAGCTGTGACTGAAGCTTTTCTGATTTATTTTCATTTTACATTCTTACATGAAGTAGCAAGCAGTGTTTTTCCACACCTTCACACTACAGCATAAACAAGACCTAAGCAGTACAATCAACATTCAAGTATACTTTACTTTTTAAGTTTGCACTAGAAAATTCATACCTAGTTCTGATTTCATCTAAAGAAGAAAGGGCATTCTTCAAATACTGCTGCAGCTTTTCTTCAGAGCTCGCGGTTCTCATTTCACCCAAAATTATATCCAGATTAGCTTCCATAATCTAAGGCCAAATAAAAAGAACCCAGTAAAAATTATTTACTCATTACTGAAATTCTTTGTAACTATTTACGATTCAAACAATTTAATTCTGTACACATATTCTACACCAAGAAGGGATGCTACCTTACCAAAACTCATCTATTATGAAGATCTTTCATAATGAAAGATGAACACCTCTGACATTGCCACTCTAAGTTGCATGTTATACCCATGAGAACTTGACATACAAACAAGACTCTATACCTGCACAAGTTCTTATGAGTAGTAGAAACTTGCAGCCATTTAATACCCAAGATATAATCTTTATCACCATTGCCATATCAAGAATATGACTGTACATTAATTGTGAATCAAGCAATTAGCAAAAAATGTACCTGACAGAATGAAACTACCCTGTAGAAATTCCAGTATAAATGTCAAAGAATACGTTTTAAATTTTATACCAAGTATTTTGAATTCCAGAGGGTTCTCTGCATTAAGAAGTCCTTTCTTTACATCATACCACATCTTTGTTTTTATGTTTATACCTGTATTAAGTTATCCTGTTTCCATCTGCATTCATCTAATTTCTTCTGAAGTTCACCTTCCTGCTGGGACAGTTTGAGTTGATGGACATCCCAGAGAGCCATGGCCTCCTGAAAATAGCTGTACAAGTCCCTACAATTCTGCTCATTCTGTTTAGCCAGCTCCTCAAAGTCTCTCTAAAGAAATACATATAAGTGAACCAGTTACTATTAAACTGTTTGCTGGAAGCTGAAATGAATAAGTAAGGGGACATGATAAAAGGCTGTCTGGAAGTACATTATCAGTATTCAACACAGTCTCTTCTATTTGGAGAGGAAAAAATAGTCCAAGTAATCTGGAAAAGAATGTGGATTTTTGTTCTAGAAGCCGAGAGTATCAAAACTTGTTTATTCTTCTGGTACTGTAAAGCACAGAATCCTCAAATTCTGCATATGCCGTGAAGTATCTGGCCATCTATCATTTTAGGAACAACTGTCCAGTCATTTTCATGTATGGAATCACAAAAGATAGGATTGAAGGAAATTTGGGAGATCACTGAAATCTATTTCTCTGCCTCCAGGCAGGATGGGCTACCCCTAATTCATCCCTGACAACCTATTATAAATATAAACCAAACAATTATGAACTCTTCTCCTTGAATCACACCAAACTTTTTTATTTCTGGGGCAGGTGTTCAGTTACACTATGGACCTCTTTCTAACGTGACATCAATAGCCTAAGAGGCAGTAGTGCAGGAAGAACAGACTATTCCCAAAGAGTAATAAAAATATATGTAATAAACGTACATTCATATGCTCCAGTTCTTCTTCAAACTGACTTTTTAGTTTCTCAGTCAACGGAAGTAAGTCAGAATTCACAATTTCTTCGGCCTCTTCTTTTGTGCAAACATTCAGATTCAACAGGTTATTCTAAATGAAAAGAATGCTAAGTTATTAACATGCATGTAACATAACAAATGTTGTGTGGCTTTTTGAGAGTATGGCTAAACTTAGCATTTCTTCTTTTCTTGTGAACGGAGAGAACAGATTCAACCGCCAAGATCTCACTTCTGCTAGGAAACAGTACAATCCTATTTGGACACAAAAGGAGAAACTGAGGCAGAGAGGAGGAATTTCTTTCCTGAGGTGAGACAGATTCAGCATAAAGGTTCTGACCCTGCGTCTTCCACCTGAGTCGGGGACAGTACCCTTTCATTACTGGCATTTGTTACTGCTTTTACACATTTCAAGTACAAATACCACATGCTACCGTGAAACAAAGTAAGTTTTCTCACAGAATAAGACAGAGGTTAAAAAGTAATTTCACTTGTTATAGCACTGTTTGGTGGACCCTCAAACACTGCAACAACACATCGTGTACTGTTACCAACAATCCTTCCAAGAATTTGCAAAGCTAGATACTAACCTTGCATAACTGCACTTCTGCCAAACATTTTTGCTGGACTACCTCATACTGGATGTGTATTTTCATCATACACTGCACATTGTGGGTATCTGAAGGATATGGAAGAACAGAGCGTTGTAAAGATTTCCTTATTTCACAGTGCAGTGTGAAATGGAAACATGACAGAGGTCCTGTGCTGAGTCTCAGCACAGGTAATGTATCCCAGTAGTGTCTTCACATTTGTATGATGGTATCAACCAACAAAATAAGATGTTTTAATACAAAACTTTTTACCATGATGCTTCGAAGTAGTGAGCTATTTAGAGTCCCACACAACTTCTTTGCTAATATGCAGGCTACGAACATTAAGCCAGAATGTGTTCAAGGGAAACAGAGGGTAGACATACAGAGGGAAGGCATACTCTAGGACTCAGAGAAAGGAAGCATCTCAAATACTACCCCTCTCATTCTCCATGAGGTAAAAAGGAGTATTTTTGTATGATTGAGAACTGACCTGCATTAAAATTAACCTTCTATTTTCCCCAGACTAATTCTAACCAAGTCAGTTCCCGCTAGATTTCACCATGCAGAAATGTTTGTTCTGGCAAAAGGGAGGCGATGCAATAGAGAGCTTATTTCAGTCATATTGCTAGCTCAAAGCAACTTAGAAGGTACATGGAATCACATGGAACAAAGAATATAGCAAACATATACTTTCAAAGCAACCATCTGACTCATTACTGCCTAGAAAAAAGAAAGAATTAGTTCCTTGAATTCCAGACTAGTTTTATGATTTCTGAACTTACCTATACTTTTGTTTAAATTCACCAAAGATCTGTACCATTCATTTATCTCGGCTTTCGTGTGTTTTGGAGGCAACAAATCACTATGGAAATCACAAACAAGAATCAGCTATCTTGAAATATAATCCAGTCAGTGCTTAAAGGTTAAAATTATGAATCAAAGTAACTATAGTACTGTGCTTTATTTCATTTACAGCCATCTCAGCAGTGAAAACAAAACGACTGCTGTTTTTGAAGGCCACTGTTTACTGACAAGGAACTAACTAATCTATCTTGTCACTACATATATTGTAAGACAAAAACTGTAAATATTGTAATGCATTGCACCCAAACCTTCTTCTTGTTGTCAGGATGGACATTCAAACATAGCAGTGTTTGATTTCTATCAAGACTTCTTTCTTAATTTATTATAGGAATTAAACTCCCACACAGAAATAATGCCTTCACAAAAATCACCAATTTTTATTCCTCTGAGCATACTTGTCTTCCCCTTTCTACTATGTTTCAAATGTTAGTAACTTTTGTCTTCCTGCATTTCTAGCCCTCAGTCACCCCCCATTTAGTGTAACTGGTGCATTGAAAACTAAGAATGCATTTTTTTCCATCAAAAAGAGCTTTACAAAAGAAGTTTAGGCCCTGCCTTCCTGCTGCATTGTACAATCGCACACTGAAATGGAGTAAAGTGCACTTTCTAGTTAAGTTCCTCATTAACTCTAGAAAGAATTCTTTTTTCCTTTTTTGCTGTTCTTTTGTCATACCTAAGATGTTGCAAAAATTCCAGTCTCCTTTCACTAAGTAAAATCTGATCTGTTAACGTATTTTCTATTTCTGTTTTCACAGTTGGGGGATTCTGTATTTCTTCATTTGCCATAAATTCTCTGTAAGATGGAAGAACACATTGAAGTAAGTATCTGTTTGAGAAAATCTAATGTTCGAAATACAAATACAAAATATATTTTATACATACCAGGTAAAAAAAAAAGAATGTAAAGTTCTTTTAGCTTTTCAGTTTTATAGTGGAAAAATGATAAAATATTACTGTTTATAGAAAACACAAGTGAACATTAGTCACTATGTGTTATTCATACTCCAAAACATAATTGTAAAATTTCTGACCTGAAACTGTGAATTACATAATTCTTTTGGATGAGCTTCCAGTCCTTGACCCTATCTTGCCATTTCAATCGATCTGATAATTCCCTCTTCATCTCTGATTTCATTAGATTAAAGAAGAGCTTGGCAATTGCCCTCTGATTAGCCAACAGTGCTCTGTTAATCATCTGTGTATTAAAAAATAAAAACTGGAATAAATGCAGCATATAACATGCAAAAAATAAATATTGCCTGTTCTAACTAAAACAAAGGAAAAAGAATGCAAATTATAAAGAATACCCTGCAAAATAGAAAACTCTCCTATATTGCAGTGATTGATAGGTAGAAATAATGAATTTCAGTTGGAAAAAAAGACATTCTGGGAGTATTCAGATTGCTACCTTCTCGCAGGTAGATCAGACTCAATATGAAAGACTTACCATAGCCTCATCATTCATGAACCTGTAAACATCAGCTGACAAGAAGAAGGAAATTTCCTCCAGTATCACGGTATACTTCCTCAGTACTTCTGTTATCTGTGCAATAAAAGAATAAAGAACAAGAACAAAACAAATCTCTGTAACTCAAACGTCAGTTTCCCAAGTTAAGCAATGATATGAACAAGACTATTTTTTTCCCATTAAAATTAATACAGTCGGCTGATAGACAGATTGAGAAGTGAATCTCAAAATACCTATCTTAAATACCGATTATTTTTTTTAATCATTCATAAAAATAGTAACTAAAACATTCCATATCCTTACTATTCAACTGATTTCTGTGATATCTGTGAGTATCTGTGATAATTGAGTGCTCTGCAGATAGGCTGCAATCTGAATTTAATAATCAAACCAAGTTCCTTTCAGGTATCTGTAGTGAATCCACCAGTGGTTGTTTTAAGTGGACACAAAATTTAAGCAAATGTGGTTATCTCTGGTATTTTTCATAACTAATCAAACAGAAAAGTTACTGATGATACTGTTGGACCTATTCATCATGTCTATATTGCAAAGAGAGGACAACCTGACACGGGTATAATAGATAGCTTCTGTTTGCCTACAAGGACAAAGCAGCAAGGACTTCTTTATGGACTATCTATTTATTTATCCAAACTTTACTGTGATAGCCAATGACTTTTACAGGTCAGGCTGAATGTATGTAACTATAGCATGTCTGCTACTGATACCCAGCCTACCCAAACTAAAATTAGCTAGGGTATGTCTGTGCATGTTCTCAGTTGCTGAAGAGCTATCTCCCAACAAAACAACATTAGACCTGATAACAGTTTGATCTAAATAACCCTGCAGAAAAATAAAAGCATCTCACATATTCCTTGCATCTTTAGTACAGGTAATCGTGTAAGAAACAAACACCTTGTAACTGGAAGAGAAATATCTTCTCCTGATTATGTGGGTGTAAAATGAGAGAATGATCTATTGATGAAAAGACAGTAATCACCTACACAACAGAAGCCCTGGCAGATCTCTTTGACTCCTGTGGAAACAAGCGACCCTTTGCTCTACATCCAGCATTATGAGCAAATAATAATTTTATGCTTAATTAACAGCTATTAAGACTACAGCTCACTTTATCAGCCCGACTCCTTTCAACCTCTTTTAGGGATTCATCCATTTCCCTAA